ATGTGCCCAGCCTCACTAGGAAGGCAGGCTGTAGCTGCTATCTGCTGTTTCAGTTAGTGGTGCAACACAGCGTTGGGTCCATGACATTTTGGGTCTTTCTAGTGCTCCGTTGGGATGGTCCCTGGAAGTGGGAGTGTAGCCTAAGGAGAGGTTGCCAAGTCCCTCTCGAGGGTGCCCTGCTGGTTTGACCTGTGCATGAGGGCACCTGTTTCCCCACCTCAGACTGTGACCCTAAACTTTGAGTTTTTTCATTTTGTCAGTAGTTTTACTTGTGACTTCTCGGTTTTAAAAAATCACTCTTGAAAAGAAAAAGAAGGATACTTGAGATTTTGCAGTTCCAGAACTCTACTGAACAGAATGCATAGGCACATTGTTGAGGGCAGTTCTCTAATGAGACAGAGATGCCAGGAAGTGGCAGAGCCAGGACTCAGACCAGCTGCATGGTCCAGACTTTGCCCTGACCCCTGCTGTGTTCCCACCTCCCCAGGGGGGCATGCAACGATCACACAGGTATAGGCCGGGTCAAAGGGCAGTTTTCCTGTCTAAAGCTTAATGGGACTTTTAAAATGATTTCAGTACCTTGAAGGGCATGTTGCATATTTTTAATGCTCAGCAAATACATATTGGTTGATTCATTTCAAATGTATTGAGCACCTCCTCTACGCAGGCACTTTAGAAGCTGGGACACTGGGGAATAAGTTGACAGGATGTCTGCCTTCGGGGCTGGGTTATCATTCCAGGCTCTCGAATGTTTTCTATAATTTGTTATTTTCATAAAGAATTAATAACTATTTAAATCTTCCTATGTTAAGTCATTAATACAGGATATATATTTGTAAGTGAGATTCCTTACTTTTATTTATTATTTCCCTGACTCTATTACCATTTGTTCTTCGGTGAAAAACCCCATGTTTTTCCTGTGTTGGCTGTCCCTGTATTTATCATTCTGAAAGAGTTTATTTGCTTGCTCTTTTATAGCTGATGTAACATTCAGTATAGTTTTATTTATGTATCTGGTAGTTACAGGAAATAAAATAATAAATGGAGCACTTCTGTCTGATCAAGTGGTCATCCATTGTTAATAGGCTTCCTAAGCGGTAGCCAGACCTAACTCTTATGTCCTGCTGTTATTGGAGCTAATGTGCTATATAGTATTTTACGAAATGTGGATTCAGTGTAACTTTAGAGTGAAATGTTTCCCAGTATGAATTGCTGTTCTCTCCAACTATGGTTTTTAGATGTTTTTCCCATTTTGTACTGTTGACAAGTGTGAGCCTGCTCCCCTGTGATTTGTGTGATGTATTTGGACACACACAGGACATATCAGGATTTCAGATCTTGGTTTAGCCGTGGAGATCACAGAAGGGGAGGCCGTTGGAGGAGGAATTGGAACAGTCAGTTGGCTACGTGGGTGTGTCAAGGCCCCTCCCTCCATGCCTGTGCCTGCTGTCTAGATCCTGAGCCCCAGGAACACAGAGGAATCAGAGTGCAAACACCCCATAGGGCTGAGCTCTCTGACAGACACAGCGTGAGGCCTATAGTGGTCACAGCCCAGGAGCACAGAACTGGGGCAGGCCCACCAGGCGCCCTACTCTGCCCCAGCCTTGGTTCAGCTCCGGAGGAGCCACCCTCACAGCTCACAGCCCAGCAGAGCCAGCCCGGCCCAGGCCTGTGCCACTAGCGGCCCTGGGGACCTTCACAGAGTCCCACTGTTTCTGCTGTCACCTCTGTTAGGGGATTTATCTATGCTGGGAGTAGGTGACCAATGCTTTCACAGGCGTGGCCCTGCACAGCTGCGTGAGAACCGTCCTGGTGAGGTGGGGTCTTCTCTAGAGCACACTGTCCCCATGATTGTTGCTCTGGCAATTGAGTCCCTGCTGTAAGAATAGTACAAACTGTCACTAGGAACAGCTTTATTGAAATTTAGTCCACATGCCGTAAGCCCACCTGTGAGTGTACCGCCAGTGGGCTTCAGCCTATGCAGAGCGCTGCAGTTATCACATCTAATCTCAGGACGTTGTTGTCACCTCAGAAGCTGCACCCCCAACAGTCTGGCCTCCTGTCCCCATGGGCTTGTCTGTGCTGCCTGGTGCCTGTAAGTACAGTCACACACCATGTGGCCTTTGTGGCTGACTTCTTGGGCTTAATGTGTTTCCAAGGCTCATTCATGTTATAATAAACATTAATTCGGCTTATAAAGAATTATTTGTAATTCAAAAAAATTTAAAACCAAAATTAATTTAAATTCCTCTATTTGTTACCTAGCTCCTGAAGTTACCAATAATGAAAACTATACATTTAGCCCTGGTTGGTGAGGACTTGGCTCCTGATACACGGGATGATCCGGGGACGCCCTCCGTTCAGAAGAGCCAAGAGAAGGGCAGGCGGGAGGCGGTGGCGCGGAGAGCCAGCAGGGCGCCGCGGGGTACCCCGAGAGGCTCCCGGGGCGTCAGGAACGATGCCGAGGGGCTTCCGCCCAGTCGGGACAGGGAGGAGTCCCAGGCATCACCTGGGAAAGTGGCGTGATTTTCCGTCAGGGCAAAGCAGGGAAGAGCGCCTCGTTTGCTTTCCCAAAGGGCGCCCCGGGGGGGGAGAGGCGGCGGCAGCGCCGAGGCCCGCGCGCCCTGGTCGGGACGCGTCCCCAGCGGGCTGGGCCGCAGCGAGGTTCTTTCCCGCCAGACCCCCTGGCCCCGCGGCCTTTAATGTGTTTAGGACCCTGGAGGGCCGCGAGTCGGGCGGGGGGCGCTCTCCCCCCGTGTGCCCTCGGGTCCGGGCCTCACCCTGATCTGCGGCTGCGCAGACACTTGAGTGAGGAGGGGAGCCTGTGACGCACGCATCTTAAGCCAGCACTTAGGTACCAGCACACACTCAACGTTTGTTTTCATCCAGTGGGGATTTTTTTGAGCGGCTCCTGTGGGATAGGCCCCATCCTAGGCCCTGGGGGATCCAGCAGTGAGTAAAACAGCCAAGAATCCCCCCCACCCCCGAGGGGCGTGATTCTGCCGCGGGGGGTGAGACTCAGGACACCAAACGAAGGTGCAGGACGAGGAAGCCAGCAGGATGGGGAGCAGAGCCAGGGGCAGGGAGGGAGGGGCTGAGCCACCCACCTTGGGAAGCCTCGCAGGGGACAGCTGCAGGGGAGGCTGGTCAGATCAAAAGGAGGGAGGCCAGCGGGGCTCTGCAGAGATTCAGGTGGGGTGGGGGCTCAGCCGGCTGAGAGGTGGTCAGACTAGGATGGTGACGTGTAAGGAGGCCCGTCCACTACCCAGAGACGAGGTGGGCTGGGCAAAGCCGTTGTGGCAGGACAAGGATGGTGGTGGCTAGTGCAGCGAAGGTGCAGCAGCTCGCAAGGCCCTCCTGTGGCCTCAGCCTCCAGGTTGGGAGGCAGCTGTGGGGGATGGGAGGCAGGAGGCCTGGTGGGCTGTCTAGAGGGGAAGGCCCTGAAGGGAGGGTCAGTCACTCCTACAGCGCTGGGGACACGGAGATTTAAAGGGAGGGCATGGCCCCAGTTGTGTGTCGTGCCCTTGCCACACTTGGTGTGGGTGGCTCAGGCTCAGACCAAGCGGGGTGCCGGTCTCCACCAGTGCTGTGGTTTGGTTGCACAAGTAAGAAGGGTTGGGGTGTCTGCAGAGGAATGGCTGAGTGACGGACCAGGGACTCATAGGCACAGAGAAGGTGCAGAAAAGGGAGTGCAGGGAGAGGGCAGAGCCCATAGGCCGCAGCAAGGTGTGAGCCCCAGCATGTGGGAGTCTTGCCTCCTTGCCAGAGCCAGAAAGAGGGGGGTGCACCGGGAGCAACATGGCTGCTGTTGGTGGAGAGCCTAGGGGCTGACCCAGGCAGAGGGCAGTGGGTGGAGGCTTGGTCCTTGAGGGGAGGCCACGGGGAGGTGGGGGATGCAGGAATCGCCAGCAGTTACACCTGGTACTGAAGTGGATCGGTACTTCCGTGAGTGGAGTGGCTAGGGAATCACTGTTTGGCCTCCTTTCCCATTTGTTTCCATATGTGACGTGATGTGTGTGAGTGGCCTGTCACGGAGCCATGGGTCAGGCTGGCCTTTGAGCCAGCAGCTCACTCTGCTTGGAGCCGACAGAATATGGTCAGCTACTCTTAAATTTAATGTCATTCTGGCCAAACTACAGCTTGTTCAGCTGACCCATATTGGCTGAGTGCTTGCTGCACAAAGGACACTCGACAGGCTGCAGTAATACAAAGCTAAGTGGGAACAGCGCGGCCCCCCCAGAGTTCCCTGCCTGCAGGCCCAAGCATTAGAGTACTTACTTACTGATAGAATCTGGTGGGCGCCGCACAAGAGAGAAACGGGGGCCTGTGCGTTTTCAGGATGGAGAACGGCCGTTCCTTAGGAGGTACTGGGAAAAGCAGCTGGTTCTGCAGGAGGTTCAGTGCAGTGACTGGAGCACAGCTTTGAGGTCACCAGGGCCCGGCCCCATGGTGAGCTCGGAGTCCCTGTCTATAAATGTGGTGACACTCCAGCTTGTTGGACTGCACTTGAGGAGTTGTTTATCCTCCTAGTAATTCCTGAACACTCTCCATGTGTCCCCTTATCTCACCCTACTGGCGACCCTCAAGGTTACATCTGATAGAATAATAACCACTGTGAAAATGCTGTCTCTGAATTTCTCAACATCTGCTTCTTAAAAGTTCCCCTAGTCTCTTCATGGTTAAATGTTTTTCACTTAAGGAATTACTTAGCCTTTGTTTATTGACAGCTCAAAGGCAGAACTTTAGTTTTAACTCCTTTTTGAAGCATCAGATATTCTAAATGGGTGAAATCTGAATTAATGAGTTTTGGTTGATACTTTGAAACTTGAATAGGGAGCCCTTCACTGCCCCTATTCTCTGGAGACTGTCTGAGTTTTCTTCTTCATCCTAGGAGCATAAATTGACTCCATTTCTGCCTTTTAGTTACCAAGAATCCTGACCAACGCCTGGGCTGCAAGGCCGACGGAGCAAAGGGTGTCAGAGGGCACCCCGTGTTCAAGGACATTAACTTCAAGAGGCTGGAAGCACGCACGCCACATCCCCCTTTCTGTCCTGATGTAAGTACGCTGCCGAAGAGCAGCAGGGGATCCTAGGTTGTGGAGCCAGGGAACCGTGTTTGCTAAGCAGATACAAGTCACCCGGGGCAGCGCCAGCGGCTTCTGCTCAGCTGTGCCCTAGATCTGGTTCCCCCTCCTCCCCGACCCCCAGGCAGCCCCAAGACCCATCCTCACAGGCCTTCCTGGCAGCGTGCTGGCTTCCAAGGCCTGGTGTCTGTTGGGGGAGCCGAGCCCATGTTACTGCCCTGCTAAAAACCTCAGCACCACATCACCGCCTCCTCAGCGTGCCCCGCCACACACCCCTTACCACCAGTGTCCCCTTCAGTTCATTATGGGCATGCCTGCTTCGCACTGTTCCATATCTGGAACACACTTACCAGTCCATGTCTCACGTGGTCCTGGCTGCATACTGAGGGTCCTGGGGTGGTCACCTGAACCTCCTTGTGAGCAAGCCATGGACCTAGATGAGGCCACATCTCCAAGTGCTTCATGCAGAGCCCGGCATCTGTCAGTGCTTGGTGGGAACATGGGTAGGACATGCCTGCTGGCAAAAGCATATGACAGTGAAAACAGCAGTCTGGCCTCTATCCTTAGCCTCCTGCAGGTAAGTTACAGAAATGTGAAGGCAAGACGTTGCCTAGGACATGACGGGAGGAAGGCACACAATTAAAGCATTTTTCAGTTGTTTGTTTGGGATGTGCTACGTTTATTTTTATCATTCACAACAGTAGTACCTTCTCCCTTTGAATTAGTCCATGCATTGCATATTTACTGAATGTCCACTACCTGCCAACACAGCTCCAGGTATTAGGGCCACAGGGAGGGTGAGACAGCATGATCCATGCCTCCTTTAGGTGGGCAAGGAACATGCACGGTGGTGCAGCAACTAGGGACTTCAGGAGGGCACTGGGCTCGAGCCCCTTCTCTCCACTAGCCCTGGACTGCTTGGGGTCCAGAGCAGGAAGACAGTCCTCTCTGTGGAGGGAGAGACAACACGAGCACAGGATTGAGGAACGTGGGACAGATCTGCCGGGCAGAGGCTCTGAGGCCTCTGGGGTTTCTCAGAGCATGGAGGCTGGCTGACCATGTGGGCTGAGAGTAATACGTCAGGCAGTTTTGCCTGGTGGGCAGTGCGGGATTCCGGGCCTTGAGTTGGGACTCAGTCGCTGCCAACCTTCCTCTGGACGGTCTCCTGAGGGATGTGTGCCCACTTTATGGGGACTAACTGACTGGCAGCTGGCCAGGGTGCGAAGTGCTGACCCATGGAACCTTTCTCAGGACTGCAGGATGCCTCTAGCGTTGTCCCAGCCATACTGTCTCTGCAGACGCCTGTGCTCTCACCCCTCCTGGATGCACCTGGCCTTCCTCCTTGTGCCTGAGGACGCAGGGCTGGCAGTGTGGTGCTGCCTCCATGGGGAGACCCTGAGATGAGCTTGGATGGCAGAATGAGGAGTGGAGCTTTGCGCAGGGCACTTGGGCACGGAGGCTGAGGATCAGGCCAGTGAGACTCCACCCTTCTCTGCATGTCCCAGCAGAGCTGGCTGCCCATGCACTCCCCGCCAGGGTCTGTGCCCCTTCCTGAGCCCAGCAGACGTGCCACAGGGTCTGCAACTGAGTCCCCAAGAGGAGAGACTTTGCAGACAGGCCTGCAGCTATAGTCAGGGATGGACGTGACACAGGTGGTGGTGATCCCACGTCTGCCCCTCTGTTCCCTGTGCACAGCCACAGGCGGGTTACTGTAAGGACATCCTGGACCTCAAGCAGTTCTCTGCTGTGAAGGGCATTGACCTGGACACCAGATACTTTCTACTGCCAATTTGTTATGGGCTGTGTCTCCATCCCCTGGCAGAATGAGGTACTGCCCTTTGCAGCATAGCAGATTAATCATTAAGAAATGACTAGAGAAAGAAGGTGTGTGTGTGTGTGCGCGCGCGTGTGTGTGTGTGTGTGTGTAATAAAGTTTCCTCTTTAAAACATCTTTTTAGCTACTTTACATGTGTGTGTAGACACTCATGTGTAAAATGATGCCTGGAGGCTGCTCCTGGTCAGGCGTGGACAGGAGGCGGCCGTGGTGAGTCCCCTGGGGGCTTGCCAGCCCAGGGTCCCACTGTCTAGGCAGGGCTTTCCCGTGGCGTTCATCTCTCTGGGGCGCACAGAGAGAGGAAGAGGAGGCCACATGTATTTTGCAAGGAGAGGTCAGGAAGCAGGGGAAACAGGACGGGACTGGAGCGGCCACAGAGTGCTGTGCGGGTTGGAGCGGGCGGGCTGACTTCGCCGTGTTTCCACAGCTTTTTCCTGTCCTTCTGTGCATGCAGATGATCGAGTCAGAATGCTTCAGGGACATCAGTGAAAGTGAAAATGATGAAAATGTGGCATTAGTTCTGGAAAAGAAAACATGTCAACCAGTTCCTAACCCAAAAAGAGGCTTCTTCTATAGATTGCTCAGGAGACGGGTAAAAGCAGGCGCCGGGCTTGGGGGGCTCCACCTGAGGTGCTGCGGAAAGAGGAATGGTCCGCAGGGCAAAGACAGCTTTCTCTTCTCCTGCCTCTACATAAGACACTTCGCAGGGCCGAAGAGTGGGGCACCTGAGCCCAGCCAGAAAGTCCTCGGGACAGTGTTGCTGTCGGGAAGAAACCTGTTCTCTGTCCCCGTGAAGCATTCGGCCCAGGCTGAGCGTCGTCACAGGCGGCACTCGACACTTCAGCCTCTGCATGGCCCGCCCGATTGGCAGCTGCTCCCTGTAGCTTTCACAGGGAACGCTGATGCTCTTTGGAAAACGGACGGTGGTTTGGACAGACTCTCTGCTGTACCATTACGTTTAGAATTTTTTTCTCCAAGTGAAGTTTTTCTCCTTGGACTAGAGGGCTGTCCCACTCTGTACCCTGCCTGTTCTCAAGGGCTTTATTCAGAAGTTGTCCACTAGCATTCTCACATCTCTCTTTTCAGTGTTAAAAACAAGCCTTAGGTGGCAAAATCTCAGAGTGCGTTTACCATGCCCATATATCCTCCAAGAGCTGGAGGCTTGGGGGGAACTCACACTCTCACTCTCCGGGAAGCCCGGCTCGGGGTGCAGTGAGACCCGCGGGAGGAGCTGCCCCCCACCCCTGGAGGGGCCGTTCTTGGGTTGGGGGGCACAGCTGGTCAGCTGTAACAATGCTTGGCGCTTCTCCCCCCGCCTGAGCCAGGAGGGACCCGGGTCCTCACTCCCTCGGAGCTCAGCTCTGGACTGAATTCCGGAGCATGCAAGGACCTGAGGCATTGGCGTGTGTGTGTGGGGACCGAGTGCACTCCGCACAGCCAAGTGAACAAAAGGAAATACTTAAGGGCACTGCCCATCTACAGTCAGTCCTCAGGGGAGTTCGGCCAGCTTGCGTCGGAAAGCAACTGACAGCCATCTGCATGCATTCCAGGGCTGCATTAGTGCTGGCACCAACCAGCGAGGAGTGGTGGCTCTCCGGAAGGCTGTGATCCTCCCTGCCCAGACCGACCCTGACACCAGGGAGCACCTGCTCAGTGTTGTCCCATCTGTGAATTGCAATAAACATATGACATGTCTTAAAACGTGCCTTGTGAGTCTGTAGGTTTTTCTGTGTTCTACCTGAATTTTTTCACTACAGCTGGATTGAAGATAAAGCCACTGGCTGCTGTGCTGCCCAGAAACCCAGAGAGGCCTCAGTCCAATGGTGTCCTCGCCCAGAGTGCCCCCAAGCATGAGGGGGAGGCAGGTCAGACATCCCTCCCCCAGGGCCCTGGGGTTACAGCCCCGGAAAGGAAAAGAGGGGATGCGAACTCCACAGTCCAAGCAGGTTTATTGCTAAACCTGGGAGGGACTCCCCTGTTCTAGCCAGCAGATCAAAGAAGGCGTCTCCTACGGGTTAAGAGGCTTTTTATGGCGGGCTCTTCAAGGAGATGGGTCCGGGGAAAGGAGGCCTTGTGGCTGCTGACATGTCCTCTGCAGAATGCCTGTAGCCTCAGTAAGGTGAAACCTAGGTCTCTCAGATGGCGGGTGGGCTTATTCAAAAAGGTGGTACTCCTCTCCTGGCTCTATTATTCCTAGCACTAAAGGGCTATAGGAAGATGGGTCACTGTCCTTTTCTTGGTTACTCCCTGCTGAGAGGGGGCAATGAAGGGGGGTTTTCTGATATTTTGAAGCAGGAAGGCCATTTGGTTGTTCTTGAGTAGTTGACCAGGAGATGGCTGCCATTCAGTCCTGTAAAAATCTCTGGAATAGGGATCACAGGAAGATGGCTGCATGAGTAGTTCAGTGGAAATCTCCTCACAAAAACATATATTTATGACAATACAATAAATACAACTATTCCTAAAAGAGACACCAGTGGATGCAGTACAACAGCCGGGATACATCTACATCTGCAAGAACTCAACATCACATGAAGGGGGTAAGATACAAGCTGCAGCCAGGTGGGACCTGAGCGTCCCCCTATCCCAGACCCCGGCAGGAAGAAAGGAGTTGAAACAGGGAGGGAGTGAAAGCCCAGGGCTGCTGAACAACCAGCTCTAGAAATCCGCACCCGGAGCGCAGACATACGGTGCATGGGGTGCTGGATACTAGAGAAACAGAAAAGGAAAACCTGTGGGCAGGTCCCCGCCACTGGCGCCCCTGAGACAAAAGAAAAGCAAGTGCTTTTTGCAAGTTTTAAAGAGACAGGGACCCCACAGCTGGACGAACGTGTCCGAACACATGCACCCCAGCACCTGGGAATGCAGGGAACTCTAGGCAACCTAACCCCCAGGAGGCAGCACAGCTCTGAAGCCCCTCATAGCACTAAGCAGCCTGCCAGTCATTCCCCCAACTGGCACGGACCCCGACACACCATCCCAGTAGGGGGAGAGGGGCAGCGTGCGCCAGGGGCGGCGGTGCCGGAGGGGACCGGGAGCGGCCTGTGTGCACTGGCAGCACCAGAGGGGACTGGGAGCAGCTTGTGCGAGCCCGCTGTAGCGGTGACCGAACAGCCCGGGAGCAACCCGCGCATGCCGGCGGCAGTGGCGCCAGAGGAGCCCGGGAGAGGTCTGATCCGGAGAGGCCCGCGCGCACCTGCAGCGGAGCCAGAGGGAGCAGCCACACTCCCAGCACCTGACTGGAATCCCAGCCCGATGCACAGCCGCCCAGGCCAGACCCAAAGGCCGCTGCTGCCACACAGCTGCCCGGCAGGGGCACCGCTAGCATGGAGGAACACACCTGGCGTGCCTGCCACTCCCCGCAGGGCTCCGCACTGCTCTGACGGAGACCCCGCCCACAGCAACTTAGGGGATTGACCCGGTGGCTGCTCCAGGAGTGCAGGTAGCCATCACAGGCAGCGGAGAAGGGCAAGGTGACCAGCAAGCATGAAAGGACTTTCTTCTCCCAGCTGACACACCCGCAACCTGCCTACAGCCACCGCTATCACCATGAAAAGGCAGAAAAATTTAGTCCAGTCCAAAATAGTTCAGACTATGCCTGAGAGAGGATCTGCAGAGACAGACCTAACTAGTCTCCCTGAAAAAGAATTCAAAATAAAAATCATAAACATGCTCACAGAGCTGCAGAGAAATATACAAGAGCTAAGGGATGAAGTCCAGAGGGAGATTACAGATGTCCGGAGGGATATCACAGAAATGAAACAATATCTGGAAGGATTTATAAGCAGTATGGATAAGATG